GAGCAGAGACAATACGGGTGCAATGTCAGATGCTAGAGCCTTCAGCATTTCAGCTTTCAAATGATCAGGACCAGGAGCTTTTCCATTTGGCAAACGCTTAATGAGGGAGACAAGTGTATCAGCATCAAATAGACCCAAATCAGCGGTGGACACATCATAAGGCAAGTCAGGGAAATTGGACGGAGCAGCAAGGCGAGACGCATGATTCAACAGGGAGCCATCATAGACAGAGGCAAGATGAGACGCCATTGTGTTGACAGAGGCAGTTGGACCGTCTGGATGACTGTACGTTGCAGAGCATTCCTTGTTTCTTTTAATGCGCTTGATTGCAGCAGTGGCTTTCGAAAAGTCCTTTTCTAAATCAGAGCAAAACTGATTCCACGATCGACGCTTAGCAGCTTGTACAAGAGAACGAAAACGCCTGTGAGCAGCTTGATAGAGATTCCATGTTTCGACTTTGGCAAAACGACTTGCCCACCTCCATCTACTATACATAGTATCTCTTTCACGAGCAGCATCCTCAATTTCCTGTGTCCAGTACTTTTTCCAGTGGCCAGGACGACCAGATTTCACACCAATTGAGCTATCCAGAGATTCATACAAACATTGATTCAAAGAATCGTTGAGTGCATCAATATCTGGACAAACACCAGGGGGAGCAGACACCAAACCAGAGAGAGAACCAACCAAAGGAGCAACAGAAGATCGAAAGGATTCACGAAGCAAGCCCAAAAGCCGCTTTTTCCTCAATTTCGAGAGCTTCCATTGCCGTCTAGGGGCTAAACCACCAGAGTTACCAGAACCAAGAGTATCATCGGGAGGGGGCACATACTCGAAAGTAAGTACCATCAGCCGATGATCAGAGCCAAGAGACAGATCAGATTCAACCACCAGTTGAGGATGTAACAGAGCAGCCTCGCCAATGTTTGTAAGAAACAGATCAATGATGCTATGAACCTCTTGTTGACGTCGAAAAGTTGTGAATGTGGGTGTACCAAATGCTAAAGACTCATTGAGAATGGAAAAAGAGGACTCCTCCAGCCATGGAAGTAGTGAGGTACCACGAGGATTAGCATTAGTATCACCCAGTAGAGATCCAAAGCGAGCATTGAAATCACCACAAAGGATGGTATCACTGGTTACGGGTAACGAGCGAAGAAGCGAGAGCACCTTATCCGAAGATAAGGGTGGAGGCAGATACACACAATGAACCGTAAGGGTACCAACCTTAAGGGACAAAGTGTGTGCATTGTAAGACGGAAGTTGAGAGACAGAGAAAGGACAGGAAGGAGAGACAAAGGCAGTAATGCCACCAGAACCACGGTTAAATGCACCAGGTACTTTAGAGCCATAGAGGTGGAATTGAGACCAGTTAGTAGGGAAAGAACCAGAGGTTAGCCAGGTTTCAGTGACAAGCAGTACATGAGTGTTCTGAACATGATGGAGAACATCATGTACCGTTGATTGACGTAGACCATTGGCATTCCAAAGGGAGAGAGAGACTTGAAAGGAGTGGACTGGGTTGTTATTGGGAGTATGACTAGTAGCTATGTTACTCATTAGAGTTCCATAGCAGAGCCATTGCTGTCATGATCTTCCTTTTGACGCTTGAACAAGAATTTAGCCTTTTTGGGCTCCTTCTCGGCAAGACGACCGATAGCTTCAGAGACGGCTATATCTAGCTCTTCTTGAGAGATCCAGCCAGCAGAGACAAAGTATTTGCCAACGCCACTAACGTTGAGTGGACGAAGGAAAGAGAGAGTTTGCAGAGCACGGGTGTTGGTGAATTCATAGATCAATTGCTCACGCTCTTCAATGGCAAGATCAGCATATTTGGGATCAGCAATGTTGTTGGGATCCAAAGGTTGAAAGTTTTCAATGTGATCAGCTTCACATTTGCGCATACAGGCAAAAAATTCCTCAACATATTGGATGTGGAGCAAGATGCCAATGACGCCAGTGGCAGGGAAACAGATGTCTAACACACGGCCAGTATCAATACCAGCTCGGCGAAGTTGGTAACGAACCTCAGAGCGCAGGATTTTACCAGAGCGGCCTAGATACACATACTGGTATCCTTGTTGACCTTTGGTGGTGGTGGTTTGGAACATGCGACCTGCAGCAAGACGTCGCTTGGTAGTACGGGCAGGGTCACGATGTTGAGCACCTTTACGGGCAGCAGATGCGTAGCTACCTTGAGTAGCATCGGGTTGGTGAGTAGTAACAAGCTCTTGGGGTGGTGTTACCTGAGAGCTGGCTGGAGCACCTTGATTGGTGCGGCGGGATGAGAGTTGGCCCTGTAATTTTTCGATTGCAAGGTCCTTGGCCTGTAACTGATTTTTTAATTCTCCATTTTCCTTTTCCAAAAGGTCCAGGCGGGCAAGGAGATTGTCATGTTGCTGTACTCGCTCGGTAAGAGAGATCAGCTGTTGCTGTTGTTCTTGAACAGTTTGGATGAGCTGATTCAAATCCATAGATTGCTGATTATTGTTGAGCATGGCTGAAAATATTCTATCAAACTTTGGAGATTCAATAAAATATGAAAAAGATGTCCAACAAACTGGAAGTTATAACACAATGTACGTTGACTAAATGCAAGTAAACTGGTACAACTGAAGGCTAGTTGGAGTGTTTGTTGTCGAGATAAACCGCTTTTATAGTGAGGAAATACTTTTTACCGGGGGAAGGTGGCAAAAAGTGATGAAAAACGGAAAGAGATGGGGATGTAGCTCAGGCGAAAATTTATGGTTGTTTATTGATTACAATGAATTAGCAAAGTAAAAAATATAGACTTATATGCATGCGATCTTTGGATCATTAGTTGCAAGTCCTGAGAAGCGACGTACAGCAAAAAAGCTTAAATTGATAGTTTGATCTCCATGCAGGAACAACATGCAAGTGTCCAGAAAAGGGAAAAAAGGTCCTAAACTAAAAATTAAACTGGTAAAAAAGAAGTACAGGCAGGAAAAAGGAGTAAAACAAGTGAGATAAAAGGGTAGAGAATAAGAAGCTATGGTGTATGAGACATGCAATTGAGGATACCTCGATGTTCAGACAGCAGCACAGACAAAATAAACCCACAGACCTCAGTGGCACAAAAAAAGCAAGAAAAAAAGGAGAAAACGAGGCATTTGCATATAGCAAAATGAGCAGAGAGACAAAGACCAAACGAGAAAGAAGCAGAGAAGGAGGACAAAGTAAATACAGACACTACCATAAAGGCAGCAGAAACAGAAACAACGAGAGTGGGAATGAGAGAGCAAAACGATTTCAACAGCAAGGTGTCAATCAGTTATCAGAAGGCTCTGACATTTCAAGATCCTTGGTAGCAGAGAGAGTGGGGGAGACAGCATAAGCCAAAAGAGAGGCAGTTTCAGCATCATGATGCAAGAGGTAGCCAAGATAACTCAAACGTTGTTTCTTGGCTAAACGCTCTTGATCAGAGGATCGGGATGGTGGTTTAGCAGCAGCAGAGGAGGAGGAACGAGCAAGCATTTCTTCTTTCAAAATGGCATCAAATTGGGCTTGGTTGATGCGATCATACAAAAGAAAAGAACGAGCAACAGAAACACGGACAGAGCGACGGACAAAAGACAGCGAACGAAGGCAGCGAAGGTTTTCGACCTCAATGGCCTTTTGGACACGCAGATCACGAGAGAGAGAAGCAAATTTGGGATCTTTGAGATTGACTGGATCACATGGATCAAAGTCAATCAACGGAGAAGAGCCACGACCATGGAGATGCATGGCTTTGGTGAGGGTGAGAACATAGTCGTTGTGAACAAGGAAAGAAATCACATTCTGTACAGGATATTGAATATCCAGCACACGAGAGTTATTCAATCCTACGCCTTGAACAAGGCGACGCAGCTCAGAAAGACGACGGCGGACAGGAGTAGCATAGTACACAAATTGATAACCAGATGGTATATCACTTTGAGGAGCAAAAAGACGAGCAAGAGTAGCGGATGCCTTGGTGGCAGATGGAGGAGGAGGACGAGCAGCAGGCTTCTTCTTACGCTTTGCACCTGTATTAGATGCAACGACGGCAGCAAAAGATGGTTGATTTCCTGGAGACGAAGAGGTGGCAGAGGTAGCATTGGTGCATGTAGTTGATGTTGGTGCTGTTGTGGTGGTAGTAGTGGCAGGAGGTGGGTGGGATGATGATGGTTTGGGAGCCAGGCTAGTTGTAGTACCAGTAGCAGCTGCAAGTTGGGCTTCGAGAGCGTGACGAGCAGCTTCAGACTCTGCCAGGGCTGTTTTTAACCGCTCAATTTCGACATGGGCGGTTTCCAGACGAGCTAAGCGATTTCGAACCTCAATCATAAAGGTTGAAAGTTGCTGTTCACTCGCTGGAGAGGCAGATGGAGGAGTTGTTGGTCCAAAATCAGTAGAAATGTTGATGATATCAACTGATGTTTGTGGATGATGGTGCTGATGAGAGGTTGGAGTGAATGTCATTTTCTTTGTTTTCAACTGTTGAGTGAAATCTACAGCGAAAAAAGGTGGAGATCTTGAGGAACTTGGCCGTTTTTGACCTGGAGAAAGAGAGGACGCACAGCTTAATGCCTGGTTTACTTTGGTGTCGTCTGGAATGATGTTCTTGCTATGTATTGTATGGAATTGTAGAGTTGGGTCAATTTTTTCAATATTACTGGGCTTCAATGTATTAAAAAAATTGGTTAGCGGAAAGAAAGGTGGGGATGTAGCTCAGTTTAACGTTGATTTTTATTATATACATGAATTCAATGGGCACTCGATGGGAGCATTAGCCTAGAATTCTAGAAACAAAAGAGTAGCAGGTACAAAAAACCCTTAAGGGGACACTAACTAAGAAAAAGGGAAAAAGGAAAGTGTGGTAGTGGCAAAGGAACGGCATGAATACTGGTATTGTTGATTTGATCTGGAGGAATGACCAACGGATGGGAACTTTGATAATTACTTACCACCGTGGCATCGCACCGAGAAAACAAAGCAACAAACGTTCATCAATGAAGAGACTATCTAGCAGAGAACCATAACAACCCTGAATCAAGATCAGCAGGGATGACAGCCAGCGGATGCACTAAACAATCAATGGCATGAAGCAGAGCAAGCAAAGCAGACCAATAAGATGGAGGACCATCAGAGGCTTTCACAGGTAAGCAATTAAGGGCATAGTCTATACGATGAATACCAGGAGGAGCCACAGGCAGAGCATCGAGAAGTGTTCGATCCAGAGCACGGCATGTCAGAAAGTGATTTCGAGATATAAAATCACCCATCACGCACGGACACTCTTCACGCATGTTTGTGAAACGTCCAAGACGCCAGCGAACAAGGCGACTTCGAGCAGATCGACCAATTGGTAGGTACAAAATGGGATCTGGACGAGATACAGAACGACGACAAGCACGGAGGAGGGTCTGGGTACCAGAAACAGCAGCAGCAGCAAGTTGATGATCTACTTGATCTTGCCAATACGAATCAAAGACTTCAGTAAGACCAGCAGTGGTGAATGGCGGCGGATCAGGTAGTGTCAGATACAACGGGTTTTGACAAATAAATCTGTCTAGACGAGTGTACAGTAATCCACGACGAAGCAGAACCAACAAGCAATCATCAGGGAGAGTATCAGCACGAAGAGCATAACGTGTTGCCAGGACATTATATCGATGCTTCATGCTGGGAATACAGGTCAAATGTTTGGCAACATTGTACCATGTACTACCAACAAACATACCAACCAATCGATTTTGCAGAGCATCAAGAGCCTTGAAGTCACGGAAAGAGAGATGCGATATAGCTAAGCCGTATTCCAGCTTGGGTCGAATAAAGCTTTTATACAAACGAGCACAAAGCAACAGAGAAAACCCATTTCGATTGACACCAACCGAATTCAACAATGCCATTGTCTTGATAGCACCAGAAGCACGCAGATTGAGAATCCCAGGGGCGTACAGACCTTTATATCTAAACGGCATACCAAGATACGTGAATTCCTCTACCACAGGAAGAGGTTCACCGTATAGAGACAATGGATGACGAGTAGAGGCAGTAGGAGCACAAAGTACAGCACATTTTGATGGTTTCCATCTGTAGCCAAGAGAGAACGAGTGATCTGAAGCGACATCCAACATGGTTTGCACATCAGTACGAGAGCCAAATATGGCCACATCATCAGCAAAGAGTAAACTATTGATATGAACAGGATGCATTCCGGGTGGAGATACCATAGTACCACGGTTGACAGCAGCACGAAGAACAGCAGGCAGAGAGTTGATGTACAGAGAGTACAAGTGCGGACTGAGCACTGAACCTTGGAGTACACCAGTAGCAGGCGAAAAAGGGTCAGAGTTGTGGTTTGCAATCAGTACAGAGACTAGTACATCATCGAACATATTGATCAATAAACTAAGGATTGGACGAGGTAGTGAAGAATGAGCAAGAGCATCCCAAATAACGTTGCGGATCCACTGTATCGTATGCAGATTTGATGTCCAGAAAGGCTACAACAGGATAGTGGTGATGAGTGAGGAAGTAGTCGTGCATCAAGTCATGTAAACAGAGGGCTTGATCCAGAGGACTACGCTGCGGGCGAAAACCACCTTGAGCAACATCAAGTGCAGGCGAAATGTTCATCAAGAGCAGGCATCAGAGAGAATTCGAACAATTTACGCATCACCGAAGTAAGCGAAATTGGACGAAAATTAGCTGGATCAGATACATCACCTTTCTTGTAAATGGGGAAAGACTTGAGCATGTCGCCATATAAGTTGGTGTATACGACCACTGAGAGCAGAGTGTAAAGAGCAGAGACAATACGGGTGCAATGTCAGATGCTAGAGCCTTCAACATTTCAGCTTTCAGATGATCAGGGCCAGGAGCTTTCCCATTTGGCAAACGCTTTAATGAGAGCGACAAGTATATCAGCATCAAACAGAGACAGATCAGTAGGCACAGCGTAAGGCAAATCAGAGTTGTTCACTTGGGGAGCAGTAGGCGAGACGCATTATTCAACAAAGAGCCATCATAGACTGAGGCAAGATGGGACGCCATGTGTTGACAGAGGCAGTTGGACCGTCTGGATGACTGTACGTTGCAGAGCATTCCTTGTTTCTTTTAATGCGCTTGATTGCAGCAGTGGCTTTCGAAAAGTCCTTTTCTAAATCAGAGCAAAACTGATTCCACGATCGACGCTTAGCAGCTTGTACAAGAGAACGAAAACGCCTGTGAGCAGCTTGATAGAGATTCCATGTTTCGACTTTGGCAAAACGACTTGCCCCACCTCCATCTACTATACTAGTATCTCTTTCACGAGCAGCATCCTCAATTTCCTGTGTCCAGTACTTTTTCCAGTGGCCAGGACGACCAGATTTCACACCAATTGAGCTATCCAGAGATTCATACAAACATTGATTCAAAGAATCGTTGAGTGCATCAATATCTGGACAAACACCCAGGAGGAGCAGACACCAACCAGAGAGAGAACCAACCAAAGGAGCAACAAGAAGATCGAAAGGATTCACGAAGCAAGCCCAAAGGCCGCTTTTTCCTCAATTTCGAGAGCTTTCCATTGCCGTCTAGGGGCCAAACCACCAGAGCTACCAGAACCAAGAGTATCATCAGGAGGGGGCACATACTCGAAAGTAAGTACCATCAGCCGATGATCAGAGCCAAGAGACAGATCAGATTCAACCACCAGTTGAGGAGTAACAGAGCAGCCTCGCCAATGTTTGTAAGAAACAGATCAATGATGCTATGAACCTCTTGCTTGACGTCGAAAAGTTGTGAATGTGGGTGTAACCAAATGCTAAAGACTCATTGAGAATGGAAAAAGGACCTCCTCCAGCCATGGAAGTAGTGAGGTACACGAGGATTAGCATTAGTATCACCCAGTAGAGATCCAAAGCGAGCATTGAAATCACCACAAAGGATGGTATCACTGGTTACGGGTAACGAGCGAAGAAGCGAGAGCACCTTATCCGAAGATAAGGGTGGAGGCAGATACACACAATGAACTGTAAGGGTGCCAACCTTAAGGGACAAAGTGTGTGCATTGTAAGACGGAAGTTGAGAGACAGAGAAAGGACAGGAAGGAGAGACAAAGGCAGTAATGCCACCAGAACCACGGTTAAATGCACCAGGTACTTTAGAGCCATAGAGGTGGAATTGAGACCAGTTAGTAGGGAAAGAACCAGAGGTTAGCCAGGTTTCAGTGACAAGCAGTACATGAGTGTTCTGAACATGATGGAGAACATCATGTACTGTTGATTGACGTAGACCATTGGCATTCCAAAGGGAGAGAGAGACTTGAAAGGAGTGGACTGGGTTGTTATTGGGAGTATGACTAGTAGCTATGTTACTCATTAGAGTTCCATAGCAGAGCCATTGCTGTCATGATCTTCCTTTTGACGCTTGAACAAGAATTTAGCCTTTTGGGCTCCTTCTCGGCAAGACGACCGATAGCTTCAGAGACGGCTATATCTAGCTCTTCTTGAGAGATCCAGCCAGCAGAGACAAAGTATTTGCCAACGCCACTAACGTTGAGGGACGAAGGAAAGAGAGGGTTTGCAGAGCACGGGTGTTGGTGAATTCATAGATCAATTGCTCACGCTCTTCAATGGCAAGATCAGCATATTGGGATGGGATCAGCAATGTTGTTGGGATCCAAGGGTTGAAAGTTTTCAATGTGATCAGCTTCACATTTGCGCATACAGGCGAGAAACTCCTCTACATATTGGATGTGGAGCAAGATGCCAATGACGCCAGTGGCAGGGAAACAGATGTCTAACACACGGCCAGTATCAATACCAGCTCGGCGAAGTTGGTAACGAACCTCAGAGCGCAGGATTTTACCAGAGCGGCCTAGATACACATACTGGTATCCTTGTTGACCTTTGTGGTGGCGGTTTGGAACATACGACCTGCAGCAAGACGTCGCTTGGTAGTACGGGCAGGGTCACGATGTTGGGCACCTTTACGGGCAGCAGATGCGTAGCTACCTTGAGTAGCATCGGGTTGGTGAATAGTAACAAGCTCTTGGGTTGGTGTTACCTGAGAGCTGGATTGAGCACCTTGATTGGTGCGGCGGGATGAGAGTTGGCCCTGTAATTTTTCAATTGCAAGGTCCTTGGCCTGTAACTGATTTTTCAATTCTCATTTTCCTTTTCCAAAAGGTCCAGGCGAGCAAGGAGATTGTCATGTTGCTGTACTCGCTCGTGAGAGAAGAGACCAGTTGTTGCTGTTGTTGTTGAACAGTTTGGATGAGCT